TTTCAAGCCAGGTTGGAAGACTTGCATAACTATAATCATACTTTTTCCCCTGCATGATAGAAGAAATGTATTTTTTTTCACAATTTTTTCATATTTGTTCAGAAATGGCAGTTTAAAGGCACAAATCATGTAAGTATATATGTGCCACTGCAGTGTTTATTAAATGCTTTTTAAAAAATAAATTAATTTTAATTAAAATAATTTATGGTTTTTCAAGGTGAATTTTAAGCCCATTTCTTGTCATCAGAATATCTTCAATGGAGAATCAATTCTGGTTGTAGTTTAATTCTTTTGTAAGAGATGCAGTAAGATCCAGTTGAATGGGGTCCTGTTCTTTCATTGAATGTCAGTGACTGGTGTCTTCCTGGTTTGGGATGGTGGAGGGGCGTTTGTATCACACTGTTGCATTTCATTTAAAATTTCAAAGTGTGAAAACTAGGAGTGATAGTAGGAGCTTTGACTTTAAACAAATATTAAAGATTTAAAGTTGTTTTGTACAAATGCAATAGGACTATGTCTGACAATGACATCTCGTACTACATGATGGTGTAGCAAGAATAGGTATAATTCTCTCTGTAAATTGTTCTTTTACATATAAGTAAGCATGTATATGTCTATGTTTTCTTGAATACCCACCACTAACACTAATAGTGTCTTCAAAAGTAGTCTGTCACTAAGTTTATTGCTGGATAGAGAATACGTTACAGCTGAAACTGCTGTCTGACCTATTTAGAAAGAGATCCTGCTCTCTGTGTTTGAATTCTCTTGTGAAAAAGATCCAGTTTTCCAATGAATTTTTGAGAACTTCACAGTCTTACAAAAGAGTGGGGAAAAAAAGAGGAAGAAATTTAAAACTGCAAACTCATGTCATTTTACCCAGGCAGGCATATATGACTTCTGCTTGGTTTATCTACCTGAATTCAAATACACCCTTGAACATTTGCATCAAAAAGTAACTGCTCTACATATCTGCATAGAAGGAGAATTGCTGTTAAGACAATCTGCTGTCAGAATGCTTCTCCTGGTCCAAAGTGTGGGGTAAATCATCTTGGATTTCAAATTAAGGATCAAATTCATGGAGATGCTTCAGCTACTTTGTCCATGGGGGCCCACTTTAATGACCATTCTGTCTGCCTTCGCTCTTCTGGTACATCGTTTCTCTGAAGTTGTAATTGATTTGTAGTTAATGCTACACATCTACGGTGAGTGGAGAGGTTGCAGGTTAGTATTCTCTTGGAGTTTGAATAAACTCTGGTTTATTGTACATGAAATTCTAAGGTTTTTTTCCCCCGTGATTTGCAGAACATGAAAGCATGTGGGCGCAGCCAAGATACTTGAGCATATGACAACTGCTTTAGTGACATTATTTCAAATGAATCTGGGAATGCAAATGTTAGTATTGTTAAATAGTGAACTCGTTATATGCCTATGTTGCCATTTCTGGGCAGAGTTAATTGTGCTTGGGATAACTGTAAAAGTGTGGATACTTTAATTTTTATTGTATTTCTTGGGAGCTTGCTCTCCGTGATGCCTTTTTTGTTTACTCTAGCTTCTGTTGACAATAGTAAAGCCTTGCTTTTGGTCTGGGATTATTCGCTATGTTTTCAAGACCTTTCTGTGAATTACAGTTTGTATTTATTTAATAATTCTGCAGTACTGTCCATGTTGCTAAACTAGTGGCTGAAAGGAGTTCAGAAGCCAAGAGCATCTTAATTCTTTGTGAAATAAGTAATTTAAAGTAATACGGTTTTCTTAAAAGCTAATTTTGCCTTGAAGATAAAAGTTGTTTCACAATGCATTTAAATAGCAATGTCATCATAGTATAGACCTGGATGTCTTTTGATTACGCAGATTCTCAGTTTGGTATATTTTTAGGAGAAGCCAGAGTATATATCATCATCTGGGAGTTTTTCCAAAATAAGACTATTGTCTTATTAAGACTCGGAAATGTGACACATGATTGTTGCATGGCATTGTTGCATATGAGCCTGTTAACTTTGTACCGTTTGATTATCCCAGGCCCTATGTAAATGGCAATTAGGAATTAAGGATATATATCCTAGACATAAGAGAGCGTTTTGATTTCTACTGATTGCAAAAGAATTTAAATAGGATGCTTCTGCTTGTTTCTGTGGTCAGGAGGGCACTTTTTAGAAGTTCTATACTCACTACAGCTTCTCTGTAGGCTTTGTGAAGAATTGAAATTGGGATAGAAAAATGCTGTTTCATACTCTTCCTTGCTTCATGTTTTTCTTGGCATAAGTGTGCAAATACAAATGGCAGCCAGAATTGGCACTCAATGGTGTTTGAGAAGTACACTTTATTTATACAACTCTGTCAATAAAAATTGTAGAACTCTCGAAAACTCTTAATTCCTAATTAGCATCTAACCACATTGAACATTAAATAAACTCACAGTTAAGGACTGTGCAATCCAACATTAGGGAAAAAAAAGTGTTTTGTGTTGAAAACTGAGCATGTAAAAAGGGTTCGATGGGCTTCCATTAAGATTGCCTGCCAGTAGTTTCAAGTTGTCCCAGTTTATAGGTAAAGCAGTTTTGTTTTTTTTTTTTTTATTTAGCTGCCCTAATCATCAAGGACTTAATATTTCATTTTCATTGGTGTTGAGGCAGCTTTCCTCCCTTATTCAGATGTAGTAGGAATTAAACTTTAAATTTTAATTCTGAAAGTGGAGATGTAATGTGTTATTTCAGGTTTCTTTCTCATAATTGGGATAAAGATTATGGCTCTCAATTCTGGTGGATATTTTTGAGTCAGAAAAGGCTCAGACTTGTTTTCAAACATGTTAATGAACTTTGGAAAGATAAAGAAGGGAGAAGATGAGCAGAGAATTACTTTCTTGTAATATTTTTGTGATTTCTAACTTATTTCTCAAATTGAATCAGAAAATCTAAAAGATTCTGTCAAAGGGGTCATTTGTGCCAAATGTATTTCTCATCTTGATAAATTTTATACTTTCTGAAACTCATGAGTTGCTAAAAGAAATATAGTTTGATGTGTAGAATTAAAAAATTGTCTCAGAAACATTTTATAAATTTTGAATTCTTCTAAATCAGTGGTCTCCTACTTAAGGAAAAAACAGTTTAGAAAAATCATCATTTTGGGAGTAAAAATTAAATGAAAATTCAAGATTTTTTTAATTGATTGGAATAAGCAGATGTGTCGGCATAAAAGAAGCAGAAACTGTGGTATGTAGCATAAAGGTTTCAAACGTATGAATTGTTTGCTAATTATGATTGCAGTGTAATGGGAACATACTGTTACTTCCAGATCTACAATTTCTCTGAGATTTCCTAGGTTTTTGTTTTGATTTGCTTGTAGTGAACACAGCTGAATTCACTGAGATTTCCCAGTCAGAACCTAGTGTTCTGTAAATTCAGGAAACTGCTGACTTTTATGAGAGGTAAAGTTTGTTTGTAGGCATCATTTCTTTTCCATTCCCACTTGACCGATAGAAAATCAGTTGTATGATTAGCAGTACATTATTCACTTTGTAACATGCACCAACAGGACCGTATGATGTATTACCAGAAGGAATTCCACATGCATGTGGACATTTTTCAGTCCGGAGTATCTTTTTCGTTATCAGGAAATCTTCAAAATACAATAAAGATTAATCTTGTACTTCTTCACAAACATACTGGAAACATTTTATTTATTGATATGGATGCCTCTTGTTTGGTTGGTTGATCTGATGCTATCCAGCAGTCTGCTCAGAAATGCACATGGGACTTTTCCCCTTGCCCTTCCAAAAACTCTCTGTTGGTGAAGAGACTGGACTCTAAGCTGTTTGCATTTTTAATAGAATAAAAGCCCAGTTACCAGCAACCCATGCTGCATAAAGCATTTACCAAAAATATTAGACAGACTCTGCCTTCTGCTCAGCTTGCAGATGGGCGTTCATCCCTTATGCCAGTGTATGGCCTTTCTCTAAAGCTCTAGTTAAGCTGTATTTTAATCAAGAAAAAATGTAGATGATATTCTAGCAGCTTTCTGCACGTGGCTTCAGATTGCAGCAGCATGTGTGAGCCAGCCTGACATCCAGCCCCTGATTTGGCAATTCACTTCGACATGATCTTAACTGCGAGTGTGCGAGTAACTCTGTCGTTACTCATCAGCCAAACCTGTATTGACCAGCAAGCACATAGCTAGTCTTCAGAGAGCCAGTTCCCCAAAATGAAGATACTAGATATAAGCGACGGGATTCTTGACATCTGGGAAGAAAAGGGAACAGATATCTTCTGATTTGGGCCCGGAAAAGTTTGTACTAAATCTTTTTGAGAATGGCTTCAGTACAAGGAAGAGGGTGGAGACATCTGACTTCCCGCCTGGCTGAGAGGAACTGGACTTTGACTATAAATCTCTTGCTTTCATCTGCTTTGGAGCTGAAAGGAAGGAGGGATCAGAAGTGAAAGCACAGTCATAGCTCAGGTGATTTCAGAGGCGGGGGAGATCAGTTCAGAGGGCATTTCCACGTCAAAGGAGGAAACTGAGTTAGGAGTCTCAGTGGGCATGAAAGGATAAACAAGATGTGAGGTAAAAAATTGAAAAATATTGTCAGTGACTAGGGAAATGCAGAAAGGGTGATCGAGATACAGGGCAGGGTGAGGAAAGGTTTTCTTGTTCTCTTGGAAGAAGTTTTCTGATATGGTAGAGAAAAACTACAGCAGAAGATAAAAAATTATACATGATGGAGAAAGGGTTAAGATTATCCAAAATGTGGCAGCATATTAATCATGTATGAGAAGGTTGTGAAGATGCATGTTTCTTGAATGCAATCATTTTTGTGTGTGTGTGTATTTACTTCCGAATTCATGTTTATTTTAAGGAAAGAAGCCAGGGATGCTCTTTCAGGCAGACTGATGCCCCTCTGGGTCAGATGAATGGAGAAGGGAATAGTTTGGTCAGTCGTGAAAGGAAATTAGCACTAGAATGGAAAGTATTGCAGATGTGGTCCATCTATTCCCCTGTCCTTATAGGCAGCAGGATCTGAAGCCAGCTTTGAGAGTGATTCATCCACTCCTGCAGGCAGGATGGGAGAAACAGGTGGTGCCTCAGCTGGTGAGTGACTGGAGAGAGAAGAAGCGTCTTTTGTTCAGCAGCAGAAGCCAGCCTGAGCAGCCACCGCCACTGCTGCTGGCACAGGTTAATGGGAAGAGGAGGGTAAGCCCACAGCGCTTACCACAGCTGCTATTGCTGCTGGAATCTTCTCTATTGAAATTGGGGAGTTTGTGGCAAAATCAAGGAAAAGTGCTTCAACAAAACCAGCACGGTGTTCTTCTGGGACCTGGAATCTGACGTACATGAATTATAGCGTGCAAAAACTCAAGACTGATGTGCAAAATACTGCCTCGATGTTTGTGGGCTGAATTAGCCGTGATAAGAAAATACATTTGGCTAGTCAGCTATAATCCTGAGCAGTTTTCTTCCCAAGTATAGGTCTCCAGTTTCTCTCTAGGATCATTTTGAATATTGTGAAAAGAGCAAAATATATTCCAGCATCCAGGTGCCTGCAGATACACTAAAAATGTAAAGACAAAACACAAAACCCAGAAGTATTTCAGCTTTGTGTTTCTAAATTTGTGAAGATAAGCCTATTATCACAGACACTTATAAAAATTGTAATATATGAACATTTTCCTTTTTGTGGGTTTCTTTTTAGGATTTTGTCTTTTGACAATGTGCAAAAGAAAATTTTGTTCAGTTTTAGTATACAAAACATCTTGCTAGCCTTATTCGGCAGGCTTCAATATGATAGAGCGCTTCAGTTGAACTGGTTTTCTAAAGTGAAAATATACAGGGAATGACCTTATTAAAAATATATATGTTTTTGCTGTCCACATTGTTTTTGTTTATGACAGTATAGATTTAAGGGTAGAAACAATGTTAAAAGAAGTCTGAGGGGAAAAAAAAGTAGCTTTTTCTTTAATTCTTTTTGAAACAAAAAAGAATATTTCTTTCTAGGCTCGCAAAAGTAGGATGATTGCTTTCAGAAAAATATTTACATATATTTTGTGATCCAGGTGCTCTGACATAATTTCAGAACTTCATTTCTTATCTGTTGAGAAGGCAAAACCTCTTTGTGCCCTGGGAATCTTCTGCAGGCAGACTTCTTTGTCTTCGCTGGTTTCATTCCAGATATCAGAGAAGTCATTTGTGCTGTTGGCAGCTTCTTGTGCTATCTGTAACGGTGGTGTTTTTCTTTTTTTTTTTTTTTTCAACAACACACAGAGCAACTATGGAGAAAAAAAAATCTTACCAAACAACCCAACAATGCTACTCTTATTTTGATAAGACCAGAAGTAAAATCCCCATAACAGGAACTCAGTGTGCGTTCTCTGTGAAGCACGCCACCTCGCAAAATGGCAGCAGATCAACAGACAGGCAAACACATTAGTGTTTATTTGGCATAATGAACAGATTCTTTCATAATTCTTTGAATTTGGATTTTCAGTCTTTATGTTTGAATTTTCAGTCCTGGTGTTTCCTACGGTGTGCTACTGCAGTGTCAGCCAAAGGGTAAAAGATTTAGAACAGGGATGGGTACAGAAAGTATGGCAAAATATTTTGGAGATAATAAATACACAGCCATGAAAAAAAGGATTTAGTTATCTTCATTGATAATATTAGTATGGAATCTTCTCCAAATGTTCTGTGTAATTCTTTGCCACATTTCTCTGAGGTAGAGGTGAATTACCTTCCTCCTCACCAGCATGGCACAAAGACCCTGAGTCATAGCCAGAAACAGAGTTTTTATGTCCCCAGCAGGACACGAGTGGAGTTAGGGAAACAGCCCTAAACTGTTATCTTACGTATTTTGCATGTAGCTGCTCCCCTATTCCAAAAAGTTCAGTAGGTACCCCATGTTTTGGTCTGCAGGTTCATCAAACTTTTAAAGTTCATCAAACTTCTAAAGATGTGCCTCTTCATGTTTAGAATTTTCTCTGCATTTTTGGGCATTTCTCCTCCTCCAAAGCAGCTTTACACTGATCATTTAGATGCCATTTTGTGCTAACAAAGTTTCCAGAAGGATGTTTGAGGAAGTTTTGGTTTGTAATTTGAATTTGAAACTGCGGAGGCAGGGGTTGTAGCAATCTGAGTGACTCAAGGGTATTCCTAGAATGACAAAGTTTTCCATAGGCAGTTCTAAAAATTGGCAAATAAAACTGGATTTTTTAAAATGTAAATAACAAACATGTTCTCTTTTATCTTTCCTCTTCATCTGATCTTTTAAATTTAGACTGCTCTTTATGGTACCCAGCAAACTTGCTCCTCTGGAATGTTTCACGGAGATCTCTTTTCAGCTCTGAATTCAGGAAACCAGCAAGAGTCTGGCTGGCAGAGAGTGCCGGGGCAGCGGATCTCCATTTGCAGTGCTGCAAGGGTGAATCCCTGTACTATAGCAATGTAGCTAGAATGCTGGTAGCGCAAGATGAAAATATGGAAAATTCTGTTATGTTTAAACCATATGGCTTTGCTGTTACTTGAGCAAACTAAGAATTGAAGGTAAATTAAGGGAGACTCTGGAATCCACTTGAAAAATCTTGGGAAAGTTGAGGATCACTGTCTGGGTGACAATGGTCTGGAATACTGGAGTGCACAGAGATCCATGTTACTCTCTGTGCGTGATGTTGCCCTAAGAAACATCTACACTACTGTAGATGAATCGTGAAGTAACCTCAGCAAGATGTGCAGTATACTCCAGGAAATGAAGATGAGTCATGATTTACTGACATGTGTGCGTGATAAATGAAATTGCATTAACTTTGAGCTGATTTTTCGCTTTGGTTGGTTGGTTTGGTTGGGGGTGTTTTTGGGTTTTGGGTTTTTTTTGATGAGCATGGGAATCACGTATGCCAATTGATTGCTACAGTTTGCTCAGTCCAGGAGCAGGGGCTATTTAACTGTGTCCTTGCAATTTGTAATGCTTTGCTCCTTCATGCAATGTGGTGGTCCTAATGAGTCTGGACTTTGAGCAGCAGACTTGAAGTTATGGTAGAATTTTTAGAAACAACTCAGTGCTATTTCAGAGGAGTTTCTGACTTTTTTGTGTGTCTGATTCTTTAGTGAATATAAATTGGCTGAGATGTCCATTTTACATTTATTTCATTTTTTTGCAGGTGTGGTTTTTTTCTATGGTTCATAATAGTTTATGTGGTTTATCTTCAAAAGCTTCCATAAACTTTTTTCTGTTAGCTCAGCAGCTGTCAGCTCCTGAATAGCTTCTGGGCATCCTTATATATTTTCCTTTTAAGGTCTGTTATTTCTATGTTGGGGTCCTCCTTAAAGCTGTGTCTATAAATGACCTACTTTTTCTTTGTTTACTGATTTTTGAAGAACTGTTCTTGGTAGTCCTCATTTGATGTTCAAACAGTTCTGGTATCTTTTGAATAGTCATCTCTCCCTCAGACCTACTGTGTGTCATGCAAGTTCAGAGACATTTATCTTTCCGTAGTCAGAGTGCTGGATTAAGGTTATTTACACTGTAACAAAAGCAATTACTTCTCCATCCTTCTGCCTGTTCACGGCTGTCTGGTTCTGCAAAGTCCCAGAGCAGAGGTGTTGTGTATGTGGAGTGAGCAGTGTCTCTGCGGTCCAGGGAGGGAGTTGGTAAGGGCATTTGGCATCAGGGAAACGGGGAGAAGCCAGAGGTTTCACCATTGCTTTGCATTGCTCACTCCGTAGCAGGTGAAGCCCACCAAGGATGGGTCTTGGTGGTAGGTGGGTGGAGGTAGACACCTCCATCCCTACCTGCACTCCTCCGAATTCTCTTAACTGCGCTTCTAGAAAATGTGAGATTACTCCAATTACTTTGAGATATGTGTGGTTTCATAGTGCTCTCATGTAAGTGCTCTGAAAGATTCAAATGGTCACATCCATTGCTTTGTGGGACACAGTGTTATGATTTTTTTCAGGAAGCAAATCTGTGTTGATGGGGACAACAGGTGGCAAATCTTTGGGAAACCCTGGCATTGTCACCACACTACCCCTGCAGTATAAGTACGGCAAAAAAACATATGGGCTTACGCCAAGTTGCTGGAAGGAGCTGAAGTCATCTTAGGCCTCCCTATGTTAATTAGCGACTTGTGTCTGGGTTCTGTGAGAGGTTGGATTTTCCTGGATTCAGTTTCTGATAACCTCTGCAGATGCAGGGTCTGGGACAGCGCTGCTTGGACGAATGAGGACTCTGTTTATTGCAGCTGATGTATACTCTTCTTGACCTCATGACTCTCGGTTAGTGTCTTGAATCACTTGAGAATAACTAATACCCCAGCTCCCAGATCGTTTTCTGTTTTGCCTTCAGCCAACTGAATGTTCACCTTCCTTCACAGTTACAGGAAACGAAGATGATCTGGGATAACATGAGTGCGGATGAGCAGTATGTTTGGTCTACGGGGAAATAATGTGAACAAAGAGAGATTACAGATAGTAAAAATAGACATGAGTTTTAGAGGTAGTTCTCATGATTCCCCCCCTCCCCCCACCCAATTCTAAAGTATATTTAATACTGTTGGCTGGTTTAGTGAAAACTTTCAAAAATGAATTTGGAGTCATACAGTTCAACAGGCTTTCACTCAGTGTAGGATTGGCTGTGCGCTCTACAGGCGATGCACACAGCAGATTTGCCATGACCCCTGTGGATGTTCGTAGCAAGGAAGGATATTAAAGAGCTGTTGTCCACCAACAGTTAACTGCTGCAGATGAATTAATGGCATTTTTTACCATCAATGAAACATTAGAAAGAAAGCATAAGTAGTCAGGAAAAAGAGGGGTTTAAAGAAGTAGAAAATCTACATCACTGTAGGGAGTGATGTGAAACATACAATATGCTGGCAATATTCCAAACTTAATTCTGTTTATGTCCTGGATAACTAGATTTGTCTCTTCGGTAATAAAAATGTGTAATGCCAGTTACATAGTAGTCTTCAGCGGAGAAAGGATCACTGCTTGGGAATGAAAATGTTTAAATCCCAGCAGAGAGGAAAAAAAAGGGATTCTGTGACTGCTCTCCTTCCACACAGGGGTTATTTATTGCCCCTTTTATGGAATTTGCACCACACCAGAATTTAAATGAGTTCGTGTACAGTGTACAATGCACAGTGACTTGGAGCTAAATGGTTATGAAACACATGACATTTGTGCACTTGTGGTGCCAGTTTTTAATGACTAAAGAATATGCATGTCTGTGTGAAGAATTATCAATGTAAGATTTCAGTCTACAGTGTGTAGATATTTTCAGAACATGCCGGAGTCTTTGTAATGGAATGAATTAATAAAAATTAATTGTATCCTTTGTACCTGAAATGTGATATATTTCTTTTGGAATTAATTACTGTACCTCTCTTCTTGTTGTTTCCAGTTCTTGAATGTGAAATATAAGAAAACTTACTCTTCTGGTATTTCATTAGTGGTATTACTAACTTCTTATTTGATCCCCGACGATGAGATTCTTGGGGAGGGAAGAATGAACATTTTCATTAAGCAAAACCAGGTGCAGCTGACAGTTGTTTAAGCCAATTTACTTTACAATAGGTTTGATTATCTATACCTCAGAAGTCTGTCTTGTGGTTACTATGGTAAAAGTTACATTTCATAATAGTATCTCCCAACTAGTTTTAATTTAGAAATTAGCGGCTTATTTCGGCTTGTCTTGTAGTCAAGTGCTAGAGCGAGATTTTGAAAATTACTCATTTTGGTCTTGCTTGATTGTAAGTGCAGGGTGGAAGTGGTACTTCAGAGAATGTTCAGTTTCTCAGCTTCATTAATAT